ATATTATTAACCACACTTTTATATTGCTGGAGTATAAACCTTACATTTATAAAGCACCTAAGGATACGCTTGATGCGTTATTACTCGGTAATTCTGCATGGTTAAAAGTCTTTGAGGCTTACAAGGAAAATACAGATGAACCAAACATGGGAGTTAGACTCTGAATTTAGAGGCAAGACTTTAAATTTTACTGGACAACCCTTTGGTGCAAATCAGATGGAAAGTATGACTTGGCTACCTCGCCACTCGTTTGCATGCTCCAGAGCAACCTGGAATTATGGAGAAACTTCCTAACAGTGAGAACAATTAACCAGTGTATCAGCTTGCCTGCAGAAGTTGTGGGTGCTTCATCACTGGAGGTTTTTAAGAAGAAACTGGACAGTTATTTCTCTGAAATACCATAAGGTCTCCTTCTTGAGCAGGGGGTTGGACTAGAAGACCTTCAAGGTCCCTTCCAGTTCTATTCTGATTAAAATCAAGGAGGAACAGGAACATTAGGAATTCTTCTAACAGTATTAAGTCTTAGCAGACATCCATATCTTAATGCATATTTTAGTTAAACCTTGGAGCTCACAGCTGCTAACTAAACTCAAGGATTTTGTCCTTGAGAAGATAGTTCAGCTATTGGGGGGGGGGGGGGGGAAACCCAAAAAAATTACTCCTTATCCCAGTTTTCAGACTGCACCCAGAAGTGCTCCAAGCAAAGAAACTTATGCCATTGGTTTGAGCTCCGAGCTTGGCAATTTGTCAGCGACGATGTCTCCTCGAATGGTGGCGAAACGTTTGCAGCCAAATTGCCAAGCTCGGAGCTCAAACCAACAGCCTAGCTACCAACCCAAGCTACTAATAGTCAAACACATTTCAAAGAAACTTATTCTGGATCTTCCAAACTATATTTCGGACAACTGTGTGAACACTATCATTGAGTCCGATAGCGATCTACATGTTGTTCGCCGTGAATTCTCCGTAGAATCTGGTATGGTTGACCACAAAATGTGAATAACTTTAAGGGGAAGTAGTCTACTTCAGAAAGCTGTGCTGTTTTAAAAATTTTGTTGACTTCCATTAATCTAGAAGGGTGCTTGATCATCGTCACCACTGAACATCTAAAATTGGCAGCAAAAACGAACTAAAGATTATTTCCAATTTTTGGAACTTCTTTTCAAGGGAAGACCAAGCTAAATCCATTTTTGTTATTCTTTCCCCCGTTTTAATCTCTTTATTGAAAAGAAATCAGACAAGTTTTGGCAGCTCAACCTGACTTTTTTAAAAAAACTGAAACACATTTTAATCAGTGTTTATTTATTTTTGGTGCTGTCCTATTTTAAACAGATTTTGTCTGCATGTATATAAAATATAAAACCTATTTTACTCGTTATTTTATTACCATGGGCTTCCTGAGCATTGCATTTGATGGAAAAAGAGCATACATTTAATATAAATAAGTAAAATCAAGGAGGCATTGAGAAGCCCGAGGATGGTTCTCAAAGTCTATTTTCCTATTCAGAGCTGTCTCAAAAACGGCAGCTGCTTCCTTAAACAAATTACCAACATCGGGTCAGCAATGGATAATATTGAAAAAGCAGAGTTGGGAGTGGGGACAAAATAGGCAGCGATACTCTACTTCATATCCTCAATTTCATGCCTCCAGAAGTGCTGGACATCACCTTTCATCATTCAACAGGCAATTTCAGCAATGCCCCTTGAGAATTCTATGAGTTCAACACATCTCGGAACCAAGTTGCAGAAAAATGTGTTCTAGAATGAGGTCATACTTCATGAGACACCAAGACCTGATGCCTCTGGTTTCCTTGGGGACATCAAATTTCAGTCGAAAACTGATCATTTAAATCAGGATTTGATATATTCGCCCTAAGACGCTAACCCAAACAAAAGGCAGCACAAGAGTGCTTCAAATAAAATAAATAAAATGATTATCCGCCCAGAGTACCGCTTCACAGTCACAATCCAATTTCACAGTCCATACAGAACCTGAGAGCTGTGAACATGTGAATTTCCCCCCTTAAATTGGCACACCGATCTTTCTTCTTTATAGCCTAGAGGTTACACGCATTAACATCTGGAACAAGGATAGACTTATTCATTATTTATTTATTTTAAATATTCCTAGTTTCCCATCTACTTAGGAGGACTAGGGGTGACATGATAGCAGTCTTCCGATATCTCAGGGGTTGCCACAAAGAAGAGGGAGTCAAGCTATTCTCCAAAGCACCTGAGGGTAGGACAAGAAGCAACGGATGGAAACTAACCAGGGAGAAAAGCAACCTAGAACTAAGGAGAAATTTCCTGACAGTGAGAACAATTAACCAGTGGAACGACTGGCCTCCAGAAGTTGTGGATGCTCCAACACTGGAAGTTTTTAAGGAGAGATTGGACAACCATTTGTCTGAAATAGTATAGGGTTTGCTGCTTTGAGCAGGCATTTGGTCCCTTCCAACTCTTTGTTATTCTGTTAGCCACGCTCATGGAAATTATAATTTAAAATGCAATAAAAACACAAAAAGCAATAAAAAGGTATACATACTAAAATATAAACCAGCAACCATGAATAATGTTGTTTTACCATTCTGACATTTCAAAAGTCAAAATGTTGAGGGGTTTCAGGATTAAGTCATGAATTGACTCCATAAAGTAATTGATGTCTATTTTTGGTACCATGCAGAAGCTGGAAGAAAGTTGGGATGGTTTAAGAAACAGCAGAGAGGTATTGCTGCACTTGTGTGAGATCTAAAATCTTTCCTCCAAACCATCCTTGAAGTATACACATATTTAATTGACAACATCTGAAATAAAATAACTACATTTGACACACCCAGAGGTCTATTTCCTATTTTTAAAATTCAGATCCTACACTCCTACATAATCTCACCAAATTCAAAAAAAGCTCAAGGTAAAGACTAAAACATTAATGAACAATCTCATCGAAGGAGCAACTGGAAGGAACTAGAAGACCTCCAAGGTCCCTTCTGACTTTGTTATTCTGTTAAGTTAGATGCACAAATGTTACAGAAATGAAGACCTCCTTTTCACCAGTTCTCTTTTTCTCTCTCTCGTTTCCAAGTTCTTCTTTTCACATTCCCTCACACAGCTCCTTATCTTCTTGTCCTTCATCTTCAGCCCACCCAAATTCCAGCTGCCTCCACCTTATCTCACTCGTTTCCAATTATTTTTCTTTATTCAAAACCTCTACCAAGGCCATCATGAAGCAGATGTAATCTTTAAAGAATTCCCTTACTTTAACTCCCCAATGGTCTGTGGACATGCATCATCCCCTTTCAGAAAATCACAACTTTTCATTTTGGCCATTGGATGACTCAAGATTTTGGTGTGAGTTTTTTTGGTCTCTTCAAATGGCCAAAAAATCCCCCAAACTGACCCTCTCGAGATCTTTAGATGGGATGTTCAAACCTTCTGCATGTCTCCAATATTTGTCAGATTTAAAGCTTGTTGCTCTCCAAAGCCAGATGTTAGTTTCTAAACAAATACAGCTACATCATCTCTTTTCTTCCAAGTGCAGTCATTTCCACCAAGTGTAACCTTGAACATGGACTACACCAATTTGTCAGCAGCTCCAAGTCCTTCTCCCCAAATATCCTAAATGTATTTTTCCAATATTCCCTACTCTTTTATCATTCCCTGAAACCTGAATCAAGCTTCTTAGAATTTCTGGCTTTTTTCCCCTCAGTGGATACACCATTTCTAGCTCGATTTTCCAAATTTCAGTTGTGCTCCCGTGTCCATAGAAGGTCACCCCTTCCTCCATTTTGCAAATTCAAAACATAACCCTCCAGGTACTTTATATTTATCACGCCAAAACCTTACACCCTTGGAGATGAACTCTCCCAATTAGAAGCATGCCAACCACACCACTTCCCACCTGTACCATTTGACACACAACATTCACATCCATTCCCCGGACTCCTTAATTTTGGGAGCGACTTCATCCTGAGAATACCCCCATTCATTTGTGGCCATCAAGAGGCAAACCTGAAGCGATTCCCATCTCCCCCCAAAAATAACCCCCAACTCCGCAGAAGTGCCCTAACCCCCAATTTTTCTCGAATTCCTTGAAACACAACTGTTTCCCAATGAAACACCCCCGACCCTCAACATTTAAACCCCTGGGAAAAGTCACAAACCGAGCATCCGCCAACCCCTCAAAAGACGTATTTATAAAATTATCCCCCTCCCCAAATCTTTGCAAACTCTGAAGAATCCCAGTTGTTTTGCAACACCTGCCCCCTAAATCAATAATCCTGCACCCCCCCATTCTAAGGGCAACCACTCCTGCGGCACACTCCCCCCTGCACCCCAAATCTTTGCAGAGCGCCCCACCTCAGGCCAATCCCTCATCAGCTCCCTGCCCCCCCCACCCAGAAGGCCTCAGCACTCCCACCTTCAGCTCTGCACCCCCAAATCCTCCTCCTCCTCCTCCGCTCCCCAAGTTTGACCCCCCTCCATCCCCATGGTATGAACCTGCCCATCCTTGCTGAGCGCCCCCCAAAAAGTCCCTCCAGAAGTTTTAGAGACCCTCCCGAAGTCCCCCCACCCTCGGCCACACCTTCCCACCTGCCCTGCCCCCCCCCATAACTCTGACCCCTTGGAGACTCCTCCGCCCTGCCCCTCCGACCCCTGGCGCTGCACCCCCAGCGAAGTCCCAACTCCTCCATCCTCGCCTCTCCGGCCCGTTCATCCCCCCACCACCACCACACACCGCACCCCCCCCCCCCCCCCCCCCCCCCCCCACCCAGGAACTCTCACCTGCCGCCCTGCAAGTCCCACCTGCTCCCCCCCTCCTCCCCCAAAAAAGCCCCTCGCCTGGCTCCCCACTTCCTGCTACCCCCCAAAACCCCCGCAAGCCCCGCCCCCCATAGGGTGCCCCCTTCTCTTCGGAGGGGGGGAGGGGAGGAGGGGGGAGGGGGACTTTCTCCTCCCCCCACCACTCTCTCTCTCTCTCTCTCTCTCACACACACACTCACCTCCGCCATAGCCGAGAGTGAGAACGGCGGCGGGGGGGGGGGCTGGGGGAGGCAGGAGAGCCCCGGATGTGGAGGCGCGCGCGGATTGGCTGCCGCGCACGGGAGCGGAGCGGGAGGGGAGGGCCGCGCGTGAGAGAGGGAGAGAGGTGGTGGGTGGGGGGAAAGACTGCGAGGCGGAGAGGGAGGGGGGGGTCGCGCGGGTGCGGGGGGGCGTCGATGCGGGGGGGGGGGCGGGGCCCCGCGGGGGGGGGCTCGGAGGTAAAAGGTTTGGGGGGGGGGGGAGGGGGGGGGGGGGAGGGGGGGGGGGGGGGGAAACGTCGAAGGGCGGCGGAGAGGAAAAGGGGACAGGTGAGGCAGGTGAGGGGCTCGGAGCTCAGGGACAACCTGGAGGGAGCGGGGAGGCAGCGCTGGCGACCCGCTGGGGAGGGAGAGAAACGCGGGCGAAGGGAGAAGCTGAGGTAAAAAAAATAATAATAGGGGGTGGGGGGGAGCGGAGGGAATTGGGGAGAGGAGGACGCCGGGGTGAGGGCGGGCAGTGATGCTAAAGGGGAGAGCTGAGGGGGGCTTCCTGGGGAAGGAAAGGGTGAAGTCGGGGGAGAGGGCTGAGGCAAGTGGAGTGCAAGGAAGTGAACCTGGGTGGGGGGTGGAAAGGGAAAGAATTAGAATTAGAATAGAATAGAATAGAATAGAATAGAATAGAATAGAATAGAATAAATATAGGGAATGGAATGGAATGGAATGGAATGGAATGGAATAGAAAATAGAAATAATAGAAATAGAAATAGATAGAACAGAACAGAAAGAATAGAATAAACAGAGTTGGAAGGGACCTTGGAGGTCTTCTAGTCCAACCCCCTGCTTAGGCAGGAGACCGTATAGTACCACTTCAGACAAACTGTTGTCCAACTTCTGCTTAAAAATTGCCAGTGTTGGAGCATTCACAACTTCTGGAGGCAAGTTGTTCCACTGGTTAATTGTTAAAAAAAAAAAGAACGGAGGTAAACCGGTAAAAGAGTTCACATAACATAGAATAACTATGGTGTGAATGAGTTTTAATGTTTTTGATTCTTAGATGTTTTCTATAATGGTTTTAAAAGCATTGTGAGCCGCCCTGAGTCTTCGGAGAGAGGCGGCATACAAATTGAATAAATAAATAAATAAATAAACTAGAGTTGGAAGGGACCTTAGAGGTCATCTAGTTAGTCCAAACCTCCTGCTCAAGCAGGAAACCCTAAACCATTTCAGATAACAGATAATCCTTGACTTACGATGGCCCATTTAGCGACCTTTCAAAGTTAACAACTGAAAAAAAGTGACTTGGGACTGTTTTTTCACATGTATGACATGTATTGGGACATCCCCGTGGTCCTGCGATCAAAATTCGGACTCTTGGCAACGGACTCATATTTGTGACAGCTGCGGTGTCTCCGAGAGGTGGGTGGTGATCTCCTTTTGCAACCTTCTGACCAGCAAAGTCGATGGGGAAACTAGATTCGGCTGTGTTACTAACATAACACCTGCAGCGATTCACTTAACAACTATGGCAATAAAAGTCATAAAACGGAGTAAAACTCACTTAGCAAATGTCTCACTTAGCAACAAATTTTGGGCTCAAGTGGGGTCGTAAGTCAAGGACTACCTGTAAATGCCTGTCCAGTCTCTTTTTTAAAAAGCCTCCAGTGATGGAGCACCCACAATTTCTGGAGACAAGTCGTTCCACTGATTAATTGTTCTAACTGTCAGGAAATTTCTCCTTAGTTCTAAATTGGTCCTCTCCTTTCCATCCATTGCTTCTTGTCCTGCCCTCAGGTGCTTTGGAGAATAAGTTGACTCCCTCTTCTTTGTGGCAACCCCTGAGATATTGGAAGACTGATATCATGTCCTCCCTGGTCCTTCTTTTCATTAAACTAGACATATCCAATTCCTACAACTGTTCTTTATATGTTTTAGCCTCCAGCCCCCTAATCATTTCAATCATTTGCTCTTCTCTGCACTCTTTCCAGAGTCTCAGCACCTTTTTTATATTGGGGTGACCAAAACTGGATGCAGTTTTCCAAGTGTCGAAAGGAGACATGGGAGGGCATCCTGGAGCAGGGATAGGTAGCCTATGAGGGTATCAGTCTCTGGGGAAGCTAAAGCGGGAGGAATGGGACTGGGGGAGAAATGTGGGGTGTTAATGTTAGGTGATGTGGGGGGCTAGGAAGATCTGACCATCCTTAGCTCCTGGTGACTTTGGGGTGTGTAGCCATCCTTGCACTTCTTGAGATGGCAAATTTGAGGAAAACTGGGATGGGAATGTAACTAGATTTAAGAATTATTTATATCCTACCCTTATTTTTACAAATAACTTAAAGTGATGAACATATCCAACATATCTTCCTCCTCCTATTTTCTCCACAACAACAATCCTGTGGGGTGAGTTGGGCTGATTGGGAGTGATTGGCCCATTATCACCCAGCCAGTTTTCATGCCTAAGGTGGAACTAGAATTCACAATCAACTGGTAATTGACTCAAAGTCACCCAGCCAACTTTCACACCTAAGGTGGGACTATAACTCACGGTCTCCTGGTGAGTGACCCAAAGACACCGGGCTGGCTTTTGTGGCTAAGGGCAGGACTGGAACTTACCATCTCCTAGTAATTGGCCCAAAATTACCTAGCCAGCTTTCACAGCTAAGGTGGGACTAGAAGTTATAGTCTCCTGCTTTCTAGCCTGGCAGTTTCCTGCTTTCTAGCCTTAACCACTATACCCAACTGACTCTCTTTTTCTTAATAGTCATCCTAAACTTGGATTAACTCAACACTGTTCACATGCAAATGCCCAAAGTAGTAAATCAGGCAGGACTACAACTCACGGGGTCCTGGTTTCCAGCCTGGTGCCTTCACCATTAGACCAAGCTATGCTAAAAATACGGTTAGACAGTTTGTGAGTCCACATATTGCAGGATCTCTAATTTTGCTTCAGCATTTTATGTCACCTGCTCCATCATCTTAAGACAGAGTTTTTCAAATTTAGGAACTTTTAAGATATGTGGAGTTGAATTCCACATATTTTTGGAAAACACTGGCTTATTCCAGAAAGTGGCTTATTTTCCTGGACATCACTTTTTATTTAATAATTTAATTTTTTAATAGTGCCATATTCGAAAGACACTCCCAACAGTTTATACATAAACTAAAATACCACCAACCAATTGTTTAAAAGGTTAAAGCATAAATTAATAGACAAGAGCCACTTGTGCCCAATCCCAATAATAACAGTCACATATCACATCTCATCAGGTCAAGTGGCAACTGAATCTCCAGTGGGAGTCTGCTTCAAATGGAAGGATCTTCAAAAGTGAAAATGCCTTCAACCCCCCAATCCCTTAAATGGATACCTTAAGAATCCCTTCCCAGTATGAGTTTATAGGACAGACTATTTCCATTTGAAGGAGATACTTGGTGGTGGTGGGGTATTTTGAAATTTACCCAGAAACTTACTGATAACCTACGCAGCACCTGCAAATCTGTTTTATTTTGTTATAACAGCTCTCAAGAGGAGAAAGGAATCTGTATTTAGTACCAATTGCAGTTTCAAAGTAGCTTTCAAAGGCAGCCCCATAAATGAACACTGAAATGTAATCCAGTTTTAATGCATAAGAATGTGAATTATTGTGAATACCCAGTGGAGAAAAGAATGGCTATGAGGATTAAATTAAAAAAATAGGCAAATTGTAGGCCACTTAAGAGAAATAATGATAAAGGACAAAATGAAAAGTGAATACCAAAAAAGTAAGTGGAATAGAACATAAGGCAGAATTTTAACAGGCAGGAGAATAAGGAACATCACTGGGCAACATTAAAGTATGTTGAGTGTGCAAAATGTGATGCAGTTCACATGATCAAAGTTGAATGTGGGAAAATTAGTATGTATGATATATGAAAGTAGTCAAAATCCAGATCTATCTATCTATCTGGACCCATACCAGTTGGGCTTCAGGCAGGGGTACAGCACTGAAACGGCATTGGTCGTGTTGGTGGATGATCTCTGGAGGGCTCAGGACAGGGGTTGCTCCTCTGTCCTGGTCCTGTTAGATCTCTCAGTGGCTTTTGATATCATCGACCATGGTATCATGCTGCAGCAGTTGAGGGGGTTAGGAATAGGGGACACCGTTTTGTGGTGGTTCTCCTTCCTCTCCGACTGCTCATTCGTGTTGACGGGGGCAGAGGTTGACTTCGAGGCGCCTTGCATGGGAAGTGCCGCAGGGGTCGGTCCTCTCACCCCTTCTGTTCAACATTTATGTGAAGCCACTGGGTGAGATCATCCGTGGTTTTGGGGTGAGAGTCCATCTGTATGCTGGTGATACTCAGCTGGACATCTCCACCCCAGACCACCCCAACAATGCCCTTGATGTGATGTCTCGCTGCCTGGAGGCCATGCGGGTCTGAATGGGGAGAAATAGGCTCAGACTCAACCTCTCAAGACTGAGTGGCTATGGTTCCCAGCGTCGTGATATAGTCAGCTGGTGCCATCGCTGACTATTGGGGGTGAGTCTTTACCCCCCACAGAGAGGGCTCGCAATCTGGGTGTCCTCCTGGACGCACAACTGTCTTTAGAAGAACATATGATGACCGTGGCCAGGGGGGCTTTTTATCAGGTTTGCCTGATCCACCAGTTGCAGCCCTTTCTGGATCGCAACGCCTTGCGCACAGTCACTCACGCCCTTGTCACCTCCTGACTGGACTACTGCAATGCTCTCTACATGGGACTCCCCTTGAAAAGCACCCGGAGGCTCCAACTGGTCCAGAATGCGGCCGCGCGGGTGGTTATGGGCGCAACTCGTTGTGCCCACGTGACACCCCTCCTGCGCGAGCTGCACTGGCTCCCAGTGGTCTTCCGGGTGCGATTCAAGGTGTTGGTTACCACCTTTAAAGCGCTCCATGGCATTGGACCTGGGTACCTTCGAGACCGTCTTCTGCCACCAGTAGCCTCCCACCGGCCAGTCCGCTCCCACAGAGAGGGTCTCCTCAGGGTGCCATCGGCCAAATTATGTCGGCTGGTGACACCCAGGGGGAGGGCCTTCTCTGTGGGAACCCCTGCCCTTTGGAATGAACTGCCCCAGAAATTCGTAAAATCTCTGATCTCCGTGTATTTCGCTGTGCCCTCAAAACCTTGTTGTTCTGCCAGGCTGGGTTATCAAGGTAAAGATTTTAATTGGTTTTTAAAAATGGGATTTTAAATTTGGGGTTTTAAATTGAGCCTATCATTTAATAATTTTAATTATTTTTAAATTTTGTCTGTCTTTGTGCTTTTAATCAGGCTGTACACCGCCCTGAGTCCTTCGGGAGAAGGGCGGTATAGAAATAAAATAAATAAATAAATAAATAAAAAAAAAATAAAATGAGCTAGGGGTTAAAAGAATGTAGTGAAAGAACAGGGACAAGAAATGAATAGTGGAGTAAAGAGTGAAAGAACTGTAAAAATTAACAGGAAAGAGTACAAAGAGGACTAAGTAATGTAAAGGATGAATATCATGACATGATGTTTCCAGGTATCTATAGGCTTTTTTCATCGAGAATCTCATAGAGCCAGACTGCCTGGTATTTTTGTGATTCAATTTATCATCTTTAGTCTATGAGATATTATTTGGGTTCATCCATGGTTTAATTTGGTTATGAATTCACTTATTATATTTTATTTAATGCATAAACCATACAATGCAATATGTGAAATCAGTCGCTGTATTGTGCTGAAAAGGAGCAAGCAATGAAGCAAAAGTTAAGATTCTAAGATTAAAAAATTGGAGATACAGAAATAGTGATAGAAGTATCTGAATGGAAAAGTTTCATTGTCCACACACAATTCAGCAAAATAAGGTATAAAATAATTGAATAAATCATTTCATAATTTACTTTGGAGCAGGGACAGGTAGACGTCAAGCTTATAGAACCTAATTTATTAATAGAGAAAATCCTGAGGTCCTTCAACAAACGGAAAAAATAGTGTAGTTCTAATGGTTCATCAGAGGAATTTGTTTTAAATATAGGTTTGGGATTCACACACTTCTTTTTCACACAAAAATTATTCCCATTTTCTTTATTTCAGCAGCTGGATTCAACAAGTAAAAGACTATTTTGGTAATTTTTATTATATTAGTTGAAATTAATTATTAACAAGTCACATGCTGAGATGGGCAGCACTATAAATTGAATGAATGAATGCATAAATAAATAACATTAAAAACGCTGTTTGATCTACCTGAAATCATCCATCTTCTGCTTATCTTTGGTTTAAAGTTTGCTGTGTTGACTACATTGACTGCATAAGATCATGCCTGCCCGAAGCATACTTTCTGATATATGTCCTTTTCCCCAAACTGTCCATATGTGGTCCCCAGGCTCTCTTACACAATTTGTAGAACTGTCAAAGTGGATGGAACCAAACATTTCGACTCATATTTTTTTGTATTTTATGAATTTGGGAAAGTTAAGGAGCAAAACTGGTTTTCTAAGCTTTATAGATACTAAAAGCATTCTTTCCATCCTTTAAATCCTTCTCTGCACTTCTTCCAAATTGATCGTTGTGCAGTTCACTTTGGAGAGAACAGTTCTAGATAAGTTGCATCAAGCCTAGGGTAGCCTTCAAAAGTTGCACATTTGAACCTAAACTAAGAATTAATGTTATTCAGGAATGAAGGAATGGCACTTGTAAGTTGCTCACATGTATTTAACTGTCTACTGTTTAAAGTTAATAGAAACAATGTTCTTATTTCTTACCAGTATTACCTGAGCTGTTGGAAAATTTCAAATTTGATTCTAAACATAAACGTAAACCAACGTATCATTGTAAATATGGCATTTTGAAACAGAATACACAGAACTGTTAAGTTTATATGATGTATATATTAATCAGCTATTAGATAAAAAGGACATCATGAGAGGCACTATTCCTAAAAGCACTAATATGTTTAGTAAAAGAAAGGAAATAGTGTTAATGGAAATTTCAAATATTTAAAAACATATCTGATGTAACAAAACACAAATGTGTTTGCTTTGTTCAAGTGTAGGACAAGAAAGAATACAATTTTAAATTCTGGGGGTGTAGGTTCTGTTTGTTTTAGTGCAGTATGAAAGATTTGGATTTTAATGCTTTTGTAATAGAGTCTAGGCCTAATATGTTTTTTCTTGCTTGCTTATCTTACTTTAGTTGTAAAAATAAATTGCCCATATATAATAGTTGGAGGATTTGTTATGTTCTTAACAAGTGGAAAAAAACATAATTTGTGCATATTCTACATTTCAAGATAAGGTATTGAAACATGTATCTCAGCCAGAATCTGATTGGCTTAAGCAAGGATTTTTGTGATCTATGATGTTACTTGATTCCAAAGAACCAGCAATGTTTCCGGGAGATGGAATTGTGCTGGAAATCAAGCTGAGCAGAATCTATTTGAGTTAAGGTCATCAGGCAGAAGTAGCAGAGGACTAACCAGAGATTCACTGATGCTGTATATGATATGTGGTTTACAGTTGCAAAATCCTTTAATTGGTTTCCCAAATAATACAGAAGCGAGGAAAACCAACATCTACATAATTCAAATTATTTTTCCTCGTACTCTTGCTGGACGACTAATTTCAATAATGCGAGGAGAAGGATTGTAATTGAGAGCAGCCTTGGAAACTTTGTATGGGTCGTGCTCTTCAAAAATATAGATCCGGGGTCTGGAGAGTTGTGTTAATTTTTCTGCTGTAGGAAGAGAACGGCGTCTTTTATGTGACTCTGCAAAAAGAAACCCAGGAGAAGGAAGTGTTAAAGGCTAAACTGACCATGATCAATGTTTCTAAAAAAATACAAAGATAAACTAAAATTCCTCAAATAAGATTTCAAATTCCTCAAATAAGATTTCAAATATTCAGTAGTTTTAAGGAATTGACTTTATACCCTGTTTCCCCTAAAATAAGACATCCCCTGATAATAAGCCCAATCAGGCTTTTGAGCGCATGCGCTAAAATAAGCCCCCCCAAAATAAGCCCTCCCTGAAAATTAACCTTCCTCGAAAATATTTAAACGCATGCATAGCCAGTCCCTGCCATTTCCTCTGGTTAGGATTAGGGAGACTTAGATGGAAATCAAGTAAGATGGCAAGAGTGGCCCCATCTTGCTCCATGCGCCCCAAAATAATAAGACATCCCTGAAAATAAGGCCAAACGCTTATTTTAGGGTTCAAAAAAATATAAGACGGTCTTATTTTCGGGGAAACACGGTAAATGCAACTTTCCTCTCATGAGGTACCTTAGATGCTAGAAAGAGTTGGATCGAAGGGTTTACATCTGTCCAGCAGTTTAGCAAAGAAAGCAACTCTGCTGTTTTCTCCCACTTCATTATATAGATTACAAGTCAAGAAGAGGTGGGGTTTTTTGCATGCTTGCTCTTATGTGTGAGTTGGGCACCAAAAGTAAGTACACCTTAAATATGCTTTTTGGCTATTGGATTTCAACATTATGAGATGAATTAATAATATCAAGGTTTTAGTCAAAATTTTAGAAATTGCAATACACTACTGGTCTGCGTGAGCACGGGGTTGGACTAGATGACCTCCAAGGTTCCTTCCAAATCTGTTACTGTTACTAAAGGGTATACTTAATACCAAGGAAGCAGAATGAGAGAGCAAATCATTATAATAAATCATATTGAATTGTCCCGGTACTAGTGATTTTGTTAAGGATGCAGTCAGACATGCATCTTCCAGGATACCTTCATTCTGGTCCCTGCCCCACCCTAACGGCTTGCTGCAGCACTGTTCTATGGACCTTCCCACTGCTATGGTAAAGTGTTCATTCATCCTTGAAATCAACAAAAAATGTACTAGTAGGAAATTTACTGTCCCTAGTATGCCTCTCTCACCTCTTTTTCAGGTCATTGCATTTAAAAATGGGGAAAGCCCCTATGTCCACTGAGAGTGGACCCTTTGGGTTTAATCACTGAACCACCTCTGGAAGACGGACCAATATTATATCAGAGCCAAGAATGAGAGAATCCTTGGCTTAAAGTTGGATACTGTAGGTTGTGGCTATAATGATCAGAATTGAAGACTTTCAAAACCAAGCTGGCAAGTTATTGTTCTTTAAAAATGTTGCAGTAAGAATGTTAGAAGAATTATTTCTTATGATACCGACATTTATTTAACCTCATCTTGGCTTTGGATCAAACTATTTTATCAAGTATTTATTCAGTTAGCACTTTGCAATCAATTACATTCTTAACAGTTGCAATGTATATGATACAAGTGCAATAAAACAATGACGAAGAATAGATAAGTAGTTATATCAAGTAGCTTTACAAATTACAATGAAAAAAACAAACCAGAGCTCATCTGAGTTACCGTAAGCATTCTGTGGTTAGCAGATTTCAGAATGTTAATATTAGGGGACAAGTTTGCAGGAAGATTGTTCCATCACATATTGGTGATTGCTGAAAAACAAACCCTTGTAAATCATCCATGTGATCATCCACAGCAGTGGGTCACAAGCAGTTTTCCTGACATGCATGAATCAGATGAGTCAGTTATAACTGAGTAGCCAAGCTATGTAAAGCCAAGCACCTTGAATTGCACCTAGAAGAAAATTGGTTAGTCCAAATCCTGAAGCATCAGTGCAACACAATTTCGGGGTGATATTCAAAGGCAGCGCTGTGTTGAGTGAAGTCTGATAGTCCATGCACTTAGTGATGAAAAAGTGAATTACTGTCACTAGGGTCTCTTGTTTTAGGAAGGACTACAGCTAGTGAACTAGCTAGATGGGCAAAAGCCCTCTGCACACAGCTTCCATCTGAAGCTATGTAGCAGTAACTATGAGACTCAATTTGCAGTCTGCTCCTCTGGGATTGTACCACTCAGTCAATAGGCAACACCAGAGCTATTAGAGCATCTTTTACAAATAAGGAACTCTGGCTTGCTGAAGTTCTACTTCCGTGTATTTCATCCTGACCAGACCTAGGCAGCCTTTTAGAAATAAAAGACATTAACAGCATCTCTTGCATTATTGAAGTTAGTAATGTTCAATCTATATTCTGATAACACCTTACTCTGAGTCACATCCAAAGATTGACTTTCCTCAGCAGTTTCATGTAAGGCACCTTATTTCCATCAAGATCCCAACAAAGACTATCGACAAGAGCAATCAGTGCTGTCTTTGTCCCATACACTGGCCTGCCCCTTTTGAAACAGACACAGATTATCTGCTTTCTCTGAAGGTGCTTCTAAAAGCTAAACCATATCCAGCAAGGTTGAACATTTGGTCCCTTACATGTGTTGGTTTGAGATTACCTGGACCACCTTCATGGCTACTATGGAATTCATAAATTCCTGAGTTCTTCCTCATGAGATTGGAGGCACCCAACAATAAAAGAGGACTACAAAACCAGCTCGGAGATTAAGGTGAGTAACCCAGAAAGGGATCCTGCGAGGTATACAATAGGATGGAAGGTACATCAACAGGATACCCAGATTGCCCAGTGTAATATATCTTGTCCTTTTAAAGTGCAGAGTCCATGATCACTTCACAGGTGAAGTGTCTTTAAAGACCAAGAACATTATTTCTCTCTGGTTTTTAGGTCCTGAAAGATTAAAAACCAAGGAGGACAAATTTCTGGCAAGATATTATCTCTACTTACGGATCTGGCTATCTGAGACTCTAGAAAGAGTGCAGAGAAGAGCGACAAAGATGATTAGGGGACTGGAGGCTAAAACATGAAGAATGGTTGCTGGAACTGGGTTTGTAGTTTAATGAAAAGAAGGACTAGGGAAGACATGATGTCAGGGGCTTCCACAAAGAAGAGGGAGTCCAATATCTCCAAAGCACCTGAGGGCAGGACAAGAAGCAACGGGTGGAAACTAATCAAGGAGAGAAGCAACCTAGAACTAAGGAGAAATTTCCTGACAGAACAATTAATCAGTGGAACAACAGAAGTTGTGAATGCTCCAACACTGGAAGTTTTTTAGAAGATGTTGGATAACCATTTGTAGGGTTTCCTGCCTAAGCAGGGGGTTGGACTAGAAGATCTCCAAAGTCCCTTCCAACTCTGTTATTCTATTCTATATCCACCCACTACTAAATCATAGACGGTTGAGGTTTTACTAGATATGGTGTTCGCCATTAGCATCTAAAAGTAACCCAACTGAAAATGGAGATTAGATTTTTTAATCTAATTTATCAGATTTTTAATCCTTCCATAATGATCATACTAACCTGCTATAATCCCCTTGACTTCTCACAACCAGGATACACCTGCCAACCCCCTTAATTACATGATACATATTTCCCAACATATTAAACAACTAATTATCTTGAGCACTGCAATTTGGTGCAGCCAATTCCATTTCCAAATTCTCAGAAAGCCCTGAAACTCCCAAGTACTCATTCTAATCTCAACACCTTCAGAGGTTTAATCTTGAGCTGTCCTGCCTGTTCCTCAACTGGCCTGTCGTATAGTAATGGAAACTGCTATGTCCTGGCACTCAGCCAGTCAGTGAAGATCTATTGGGGGTCCTCTGCATCACAGATAGGTCTAAACCAGTGGTTCTCAACCTTCCTAATGCCGCGACCCTTTAATACAGTTCCTCATGTTGTGTTGACCCCCAACCATAAAATTATTCCTAAAACCATTGAAAATATGTGTTTTCCGATGGTCTTAGGCGACCCCTATGAAAAGGGGTTGCAGCCCACAGGTTGAGAACCACCGATCTAAACTGTCAAAGAAGAGGATTTGGTAGCAGTGATCTGTTCTACTGAGCCTACTACTTTCTTCCTCCTAGCTCTTTCAAGTAAAGGGTATATGGGGTACTGAGTAACTGGATTCCTTTTTGAGGGTTTTTGCCAGATATTTTGATGGAGAAGATGATGTGGCTTTTCTTGAAGTGATCTAGCTGTTTTGGATGACTTTCTTTTAGGGAAGGTTGTTGAGAAGCTAATGGGCCTTCAGTCGGAACTGAAGCAGCTTTTTGGAGGAAAAACGAACCATCTTCAAGAAAGTCCTATTGCCTTTTGAGAAAACACTTTTGGGATAACCATGTCCTGGATGACTGAGAATCTCTATACTCTCTTGAATTGGTGGCATTCTATATGCTCAACAATAGTGTTAAGATAGAAAGTGCTGTTCTGCAATGATTCTACTTCTCTCTCTTAAGTGAGTGATGCTAGTCAGTTTTGGGGAGGAAGAGGGATTGGCCTGATTGATATTCCCAGGGGTGGGCCACAGAGTTTGTTTGACTTACGGTACCTCTGTTTTATAACACTGCAGGGTTATAAATGTCAATTTAGGATACAGTATCATTAGTATGCTGATGATGTCCAGATGAATATCTATAGCTTGAGTTAGGCCAAAGATGCTGTAGAATTCTTGACTTACAAGAATTGTGAGACGACACAGAAACAGTCCTACCAAGACATTGTTTCTGCTTGTGCAGTAATGGTTTCTTTTTATGTTCCAGTCAGCTCTAGAGTGGGTTTTGCTCTCCAGCAAGTTTACAACTTGATAGTCCTGGAGTAAGTTCCTGCTGGTTTCACAGATAGAAACAGGGTATGGCCAGAGGAACTTTTTCTCAAATTCAGCCAGTGTAGCAGTTCCTACTTGCAGCAAAAGGTCTTGATGACATGATTCAAAATCTTCTCATTAATGGATTAAACAGATGCAACAGGTTTGACATCAAACTGCCTTTGAATTCTATTCTGAAATATAACTGGCGTAAAATGTAGCAAACCAGCCTAGTTGGCAGGAACAAACAAATCCCTTCTTTTCAAAGTTTGTTTACATAAATCAGCAATCAACCTAGTTTATATAATTTGTAATTTGTATCAGTTTACATGTTTTGTGTAATGTAATGCTCTATTTTTATTTGGAGCAATTTAATTTGGAATTAATAGACATTCAGATTTAATGGACACCTTTCTCCCAAAATGGTCTACTAAATCAAGATTTTACAGGTAGCCCTTAACAATGTTAACAACTGTTAACAATAGTATGATGGCTTCAAAAATAGTGACCTGTCTTCAGAGTAATGACTGTCCCATCATCCCCATGATCACAATCGGGGCCATTGCCAACTGACTCCCATTTATGACTTGTAGACTATCTTGTAGTCATGCGATTGTGATTTGTGACCTTCCCATCCAGCTTATGAGAGGCAAAATCAATTGGGGAAGCCAGAGTCATTTAATGACTGCATGATTCACTTAACCATGCAATTTGCTTAATAACCACAGTAAAAATAATTGTAAAATTGGGTCCACTCATATGATGACTCGCTTAATAACTACATCACTTGGCAACTTAAAATCCAATCCTAATTGTCATAAGTCGAGGACAACCTGTACAGTATTAGCTGAAGATATAGTTGAGCGTTTTACATGCAGTTGACACATTGTAAGACTACATTTCCAGTTTTCTTTCCTTAATATAAAATTTAAGCACCATATTTAGTTATTCTCACTATTGTAGATATGATAAAATCTCCAGCTAGTGTGTGTATGTGTGTGTGTGAAGAGAGGGCACAGAAAGTGGCACAGACAGGCCTTACCTCTCTCAAATTCCCTGAAGCTTTTATCTGACCGTTCCCAAGAGAATCATTCTGGCCAGATTCTTGTAACTACAACAATATTTACAGTTATTCTTTATTGTTGTAATGCCTGACAGGGAGCCTAGTTCCTTATGCCTTGACAGTAAATAAAATTGGAAGCCACTGGATTGAAATAGTGGTAAGTTAAGGGCTTGAGGTTTCAGATGGCATCTAGCAATCTTTGTTTTGACGAAATTGACTGTAGTCAGTTTTTTTTCCCAATCAGTTAATTTAAATTCTAGAAAGTGGCTTGCAATTGGCACAGATTTGAGACAGTGGTTTAGAATTTCTAAGAGCAGTAGTCAGCAATCCTTTCAGGCAACAAATGCCAAAAGTTAAAAACAATTGCAATCTCATGGAATTTCAATGACCGGTTCCCCAAGATCTTACACATTCATGCTTAAAATTGCAAATGGCTTCAATATGCTTGCCTCAAATTGACATCCTTCTGGGAGTTCAGCCATTTTTAATAATGATAAAAAAGATTAATATAATTTTGAGGTTTCATGAGATGTTATAAACACCCTGGTAGTCATAAGTGCCGCATAGCTTACCCAGCCTTAGAGTATCCAAAATTAAGTGAATGTCATTAAAATTGAGTTATAAAGTAGTTCTCCCCATTTTTATTGCATCATAATACACTATTCAAAAAAGTCAATGGCAAGGACATCTAAATGAGTTTTTCAATACTCAAATTCCAATTAACTATTGGGAAATATGGGTTTAATTTTCTATTGCTTTCACTGGAATATATTTGGTTTTGATAATTGGCTGGAATAAAAAGTTTTAAAATTCAGTTCCTTTTTGGGGGCTAAATCTGTAGATAATTATTTGACCACTAAAAGCTAAGCAGTGAGGATTTTTATTTGTTTGGAGATCTATTTCATTATAGTTGTATATTAATTATTATATTAATCTATTGAATTATAGTTAATCCTTCTATAGTTGGATAGTGACTCAAAGCCATAGCTTTAATTCTTTTACTCTCAAGAAGCTTAGTTTAAAAATAATTTAGAAAACTTTGGGGTAGCCTTTGGACTTCACATTGAGTCATTGTCACCATGACTCAATGTATCTTAACTTTTTAATACTTAATAGCTGAGTTTAATTAACTTCAAAGTATTTTGTGAGAATACATTTATTTCAACACCAATTATCTAAACATTTGGTCTTGATGCCAAAAGTGGTTTTAATAGTTACATTATGGCATTTCGAAATATTTATTGTAAACACTGAAAAATCTTTTGTTTGATCTTAAAATGAAATCAATGTTAACAAAAATGTGCTTAACATCTACAAGTAATCCTTGATTTATAACTGTAATTGAGCCCAGGCTGCATAATATCTTGGTTTACGTAGGTAGAACCTGGCTAAAGAGAAATACACATAAAACCTACCAAAAAGAAAGAAAAACAAATATTGCACCTTTATAGGGAGGATACATGAGATGAGGGTGTGGCTAACTGATGAGGCTTTATAAGGCCGAAATAGATCTATCTTAGTCTCCCAATGGGCGGCAAAGGGTCTGCTGGCTGCCAGAAGAAGAAAAAACGCCCAGAAACTAGTGAATTGTGATTTCACTGAACTAGGGCTGCATAATATCTTGGTTTACGTAGGTAGAACCTGGCTAAAGATATATATATATATTTGTCTTCTTAAGTTTTTGCGGGTGTGCATATGTCAGCAGCAGCAAATATAGATAAACGACAGCTCCGACCTCGCAACAGAAAACCCATAGCTTCTAAACGAAACAAGAGCCTGAAGATGACAGGGTTGTGAGCCTGTCGAAATGTTGCTATAAAAAAAAACTTTTAAAGTCACTGGTAGGATTTTAGCTGAGGTTTTAAAGGACCTTGCAGAGTGCTCTGTAAGGATTTTTAGAAGATTTTAAGCTGGGATTTTAACCAGAATTTTAAACATTTTAACCAACTTATTTACAATGACGCGGGAAAACACCCGAGATTTTAATTTTTTGCATATGTGTGTGTGTGTGTGTGTGTGTGTGTGTGTGTGTGTAGGTCGGTCTTTGGTTATTCACGTTTTCTCCCACGTAAAATTGGAAGTGTCTTGGCGACATTTCGATGAAGTCTCATTCGTCATCTTCAGGCTGGTGTTTTCGGCTTTGTCCTTCTAGGAGCAATGTGTGATCGCAGCTGTTTCTTCCTTTTAACTACCAGTGGGGGTGTGAACTGATTGGGTGGGAGCTTGGCTGTGTTCCCACCCAATCAGTTCACACCCCCACTGGCAGTTAAAAGGAAGAAACAGCTGCGATCACACATTGCTCCTAAAAGCACGAAGCCGAAAACACCAGCCTGAAGATGACGAATGAGACTTCGTCGAAACGTCGCCAAGACACTTCCAATTTTACGCGGGAGAAAACCCGAATAACCAAAGACCTACATACAAATACCCGCGAAAACCTCAGAAAACATATATATAAGCAGTTTCTAACTTGTGAGCTGTGTTTGTAAGAGGTATTATTTTTCATTTGATATATGGCCAGGATATGCTGAAATATGGATCAGAATAGTCATTTCTTTATATATATTCTTTATATATGTTCCTTTTCTTTTCCTTAATCAAGAAAAATGTTTGTAGAGGAGAGGGAATTGATGTCTGTGATTTGATCATCTTCATCCAGCTTTCCTCATGGGAAAGTGGGGGACCATTCCTGCACTGTAGAGCTGTGGGAAGGGAATCTCAGGAGCTATAGGGAGTAATTCAGCCAATGCACAGAGGCACCTATGTTTGTACAGCTCTATTCTCCTGTTACTAATCTTCTAAAAATTGGAAGGAGATTTATTATTTAGTAAGCAGTGTAACACAACTCCCCCTCCCCTGTAACTAAGAGCCCCCAGAGGATATGCAACTAAACTGGTGCAAAGAGCAAGCTTATCTTGTCAGTAAAAGGAAGGGTAGGAGCAGATTACATAACCCCGCACCTGGAATACTGCATCCAGTTTTGGTCACCACGTTACAAAACAGATGTTGAGACTTTGGAAAAAGTGCGAAGAGCAACTAAGACAATTAAAGACCCGGAGACTAAAACATATGAAGAACTGTCACAGGAACTGAGTATGCCTACCCTAGAGAAAAGAAGGACTGGGGGAGGGTGGGCGACATGATAGCAGTATTCCAGTATTTGAGGGGCTGCCACAAAAAAGAGGGGGTCAATTTATTTTCCAAAGCAGGCAAGATAAGAAACAATGGATGGGAATTAATCAAGGAGAGAAGCAACCTGGAATTAAGGAGAAACTTGCTAACAGTGAGAACAATTAATCGGTGGAAAGCTTGCCTTCAGAAGTTGTGGGAGCTTCATCACTGGAGGTTTTTAACAAGAGACTGGATAGCTACCTGTCTGAAATGGTAAAGAGTCTCCTGCTTGAGCAGGGGGTTGGACTAGAAGACCTCCAAGGTCCCTTCCAGCTCTAGTCTGATTACTTACTCTCTGAAGTTGTGGGAATGCACTTTGGTTTGGCTAGAGCAATTATCCGTGGTGTGGGAACTGCAGTTAAGGCTCCTTTTCTCACCTAAAGAGAAGAAACAAAACTGTTCTTTTCCACGAATGAATTTAAATGTCCCCTATCACCGTGTCCAAACTGGGAACAAGTACAAATTAGCATGAAGATGCTGCCAATCAAATTTCACCACAGCTTAACCATCACTCTTCTGGATCAGATTAAAAACCCATGAGCTGCGTTTACAGGCTTAACCATCAAAGATCTATGAACTGTGTTCCTACCACATGCTTAACCTCAGTGGTGGGTTTCAAATTTTTTTTACTACCGGTTCTGTGGGTGTGGCTTGGTGGGCATGGCATGGGAAGGATACTGTAAAATCTCCATTCCCTCCCCAATCCAGGGGAAGGTTACTGCAAAATCCCAATTTCCTCCCGATCAGCTGGGACTCAGGAGGCAGAGAATAGATGGGGACGGGACCAGTCAGAATGTTTACTACTGGTTCTCCAAACTATTCAAAATTTCCGCTACCAGTTCTCCAGAACTGGTCAGAACCTACTGAAACCCACCTTTGCTTAAACTGATGCACCCCCACATGAGGGGGGGGGGAAAGTCCATTCACATAATAAGGGATACAAGACAAGCAACGTAAATTTACACATTTTTCAAGACAAAGTTCCCACAATTTGAGCAGTCACAACTGACCTAGCCTGTTGTGTCTGCTCTTGGAGACAGCCTGTCATTATTAGAAACTGCTGATGTTCCCACTCGCCATGAGCTCGTCCCATGCCACTTTTCAAGCCATGTCACTCTAGAATTATAACTTGTGGCAGCCACTGTGTAGGTTTAGTATGTGAAAACAGCTTCCTTTTTGGGGATCTAAATCTTCTATTGTTCAACATTGTTGGATGACCCAGGATGTTATACAGATAGTCCTTGACTCACAACAATTCGTTTAGTGACCGGTTAAAGTAGCCTCGGTACTGAAAAAAGTGACATGACCATTTTTCACACAACCTTTGTAGCATCACCATGATCATGTGATCAAAATTCAGATGCTGGGCAAACTGTTCATACTTGTGACCGTTTCTGTGTCCCAAGGTCACGTGATCCCCTTTTGCAATCTTTTGACAAGCAAAGTCAGTGGGGAAGCCATAGTCATTTAATAACCATGTTACTAACTTATCAACAAGTTAGTAGGACGTCCTTGTAGGAAGAAAGGACATAAAATGGGGCAAAACTCACTAAACAAATTCCTCACTTAACAACAGAAATGTTAGGCTCAATTGTAGTCTTAAATTGACGATTACCTGTACTATTTTGAGGCAGAAAAGTTTTGCCTATTTCCATGTTTTTAAGTCATGGTTGTGACTCTCCCTCCTTTACATTTTTCTGCACCCTTCCCTTTACCCTTTTGGCACTTCTAAATCCTTTCATTTAGCCATTTTCGAAGTTGGTTTCCTGTTTCTGAAGCATGTAAAGAGACATTGTTGGTTTTGATAGTTTTCAGGGTGTGTTCAAGATTTTTATTTTTTGTATGCTGGGTGAATCTTATGTTCATTTATTTATTAAATTTATATGCTGCCCATCGCACTATCGAGCGACTCTGGATGGCTTACAAGGGTGTTCCTTTGTGTTCTCATTTGGACACCTTCTCTTGCAGTGCCTTAGCAAAATGGATTTTGCTCCTCCTTAGGAACTGACTGTTCTGTTTAAGAATGTACAAGGAATTATTGTGAAACTAGTGGAAAAATAACTATAATTCAGCTTCTGTCTTGAAAGTAACAACAACATTTTTAGAAGAGCCTGTAGTGCAGTGGACTAAGCACTGTGATTAACATCTGCTGCTTGCAATTACTGTAAGTTCGAATCTCACCAGGCTCAAGGTTGACTCAGCCATCCATCCTTTCAAAGGTAGGTGAAATGAGGACCCAGATTGTGGGGGCAATAAGCTGACTTTGTATAAATATACAAAAGTATGAAGGCTATTGCTTAACGCATTGTAAGCCACCCTGAGTCTCCGGAGAAGGGAGGCATATAAATTAAAAAAAAGCAAAAGCAATTTAAGATCTGTCTAACTTATTTTCAGGTCTGTGAATGCTGCATGGCAGCTTAGTTCTATGGGGAATATATTCTCTTGGGGTATAAGTGAACACGAAAGTAAGGATGGAGAGAACAGAACAAAGGAGACTAACACGCTACAAAAACCCTGGAAGCAGGTATGGGGAGACAGAGGGCCACATACATAGAACACACTTGACTGAGGGTACTAATTTCTGGGGTTCACAATAAATTAAATTGCATTAGGACTGACTTCACATAAATTGGTAAACTGCTAGAAAACCCTGACCTGGGTTAAAACTCACCTACAGCAGCATAAAAAAGCCAACAAAGGATGGTGTGATGCATATCAGGGGCATATCATGTGGCCCATCAGCGGCCTGTGCAGCTAGTAGCTGATTCAGACAGTGAGGAGGCTGGTGTGGTGTTGTGCCAGCAGCCTGTGCAGCTGGCGTTCGATTGGACAGTGAGGAGGCTGGAGAAGATATGATGCCAGAGGCGGGGATTCAGCCAGGGCCTTCAGAACCTCCAGAAGCTCCTTTAAGTGAAGAGGAAGAAGAGGAGGAGCCTCTTCTTGATGCACGGGCGCACAGAGCTGCCAAAAGGCAGGAGTGGCTCCTCAGGAGGAGGTCTCCTCGAGAGTAAGGCTTGGGGCTAATTGGCCACTCCCTTAGTCTATTTAAGGAGGAACGCCAACTGAAGCAATTTGTAGGGAACAACTTTAGTTCACTCTACTTCTGAGCTTTCTGTCAACTCTAGCAAGACTGTGATTACCTTATCTTAGAATTCTTGTAGGCTGTTAAGACAGTTTATTAACAGCCTTCGGTTGAGAAAGACTGAATTATTTGAATAAAATAAGCTTTGTATAGAGTTTGTGTGTGCTGCGTTCTTTGGGATCTGTAGCTGGGACAGAACATATCAAGGACCACACTCCAAAAGAATAGATAAGATCACAATGAAAAAATACATTAGATTCTGTTCAATCTATATCTGTTCAAATATAGCTAGGAGTTTGCAGAACTGTTCAAAATCAATGCAGTCACTTTGAATTCAAAATGTATTGTTCCAGCCTACGCTGTTTCAACCACTACAGAAAGGTGTTAAGTTTGAAATTGGTGTTTTGTACTTGACCCAACCATTTTGCACTCAGAACATTTCCACAACGGTCGAAACGGTGTCAAAACACTTCTGGTAAAGTGCTCTAAAGCCCAGCAGTTTTGAGCCTAGAATATTGAACAGGATATTATAATCTTGAAAGGAATGTTTGAGCACGAAACATTTTGAATTCAAAATGTTGTGCACCGTTAATTAATATGCCGTCCTTTGGGGGAGACAGACAGCTACATAAATTTGAGTAATAAATAAATAAGAAATAAATGTAATTTGTCATCTTAAAAGTAGTTTTGTGACATTGCTAAGGAAAGCTGTCATGGTGAGTGCATTCATACAATAAGTTAGATGAGTCTAATATGGAATTGGATCATTTGTGGTTCACTGTGTTGTGGCCAGAACTCAACTACAGGTAGTCCTCGTATTATGACTACAATTGAACTCAGAATTTATGCTGCTAAGCAAGACAATTGTTAAGTGAGTTGTGCTCCATTTTACGACCTTTCTTGCCACAACTGTTAAGTGAATCGCTGCAGTTGTTAAGTCAATCTGGCTTCCCCATTGACTTGGCTTGTTAGAAGATCGCAAAAGGTGATCACATGACCTTGGACACTTGAAATGTCATAAATATGAGTCAGTTGCAAAGCGTCCAATTTTGATCACATGGGGATGCTGCAACAGTCCTAAGTATGAAAATGGTCATAAGTCACTTTTTTCAGTGCCATGTAACTTTGAATAATCACTAAGCAAATTGTTGTAAATCAAGGACTTTCTGTATGGTCTCAGCATGTCATGCGGACGAAGCTCTTATATTAAGTCACAATTTATTTGTTTAGGTTCAGCGTGTTCTCTGAACATGGCGGTTATTTTCAGGATTTAACTTGTGTGAACCTGCTATTAAATCATTCTGTTGCTCCATCTGCTTCTATGCTGGCTGTACTGACTGATAGTGGACTTTCAGGTTCTGGAAAAAAAATTCTACCAGTCTATTCTGAAGTTGCAGAGACCACATCAGAAGAGAAACAAACATCTTGAGGTATCCTTCAGAACACATAAGCACATACATACGTTCCACATTGTAGTATCATCAGATTGAATTAATTTATCCTGATAAATCATGATGGGCTTTGACTTAGCACATTGTATAAACCTAGCTATTCTGGTTCATAAACTATGGTTAATATGGATCCGGCTGTTTTGGCTAACTACTGTCCGGTCTCCAACCTTCCCTTCGTGGTGAAGGTTGTTGAGAGTGTGGTGGCGCGACAGCTTCCTGGGTACCTGGATGAAGCTGTCTATCTGGCTTCAGGCCTGGGCACAGCACGGAAACGGCATTGGTCGCGTTAGTGGATGATCTCTGGAGGGCTCGGGATAGGGGTTGTTCCTCTATCCTGGTCCTGTTAGATCTCTCAGCGGCTTTTGATACCATCGACCATGGTATCATGCTGCGCCAGTTGGAGGGATTGGGAGTGGGGGGCACCGTTCTGCGGTTGTTCTCCTCCTGTCTCTCCGACCGAACGCAGTCGGTGTTGGCAGGGAGGCAGAGGTCGACCCCGAGGCGCCTTGTTTGTGGGGTGCCGCAGGGGCGGTCCTCTTGCCCCTTCTGTTCAACATTTATGTGAAGCCGCTGGGCGAGATCATCCGTGGCTTTGGGGTGGAGTTCCATCAGTACGCTGACGATACTCAGTTGTACATCTCCACCCCAGGCCATCCCAATGATGCCTTTGAAGTAATGTCCCAGTGCCTGGAGGCCGTGCGGATCTGGATGGGGAGTTACAGGCTTCGACTCAACCCTTCCAAGACCGAGTGGCTGTGGCTTCCGGTGTCCCGATATAGCCAGCTAGTGCCATCGCTGGCTTTTGGGGGCGAGTTATTGGCTCCCACGGAGAGGGTTCGCAACTTGGGCGTCCTCCTGGATGCATGTCTGTCTTTAGAAGAGCATATGACGGCCGTGGCCAAGGGGGCTTTTCATCAGGTTCGCCTGATTCGCCAGTTGCGTCCCTTTCTGGGTGGGGGATTATGGGAGCGATGGGCCGCTCCCATGTGACTCCTCTCCTGCGTGAGCTGCATTGGCTTCCGGTGGTCTTCCGGGTGCGCTTCAAGGTGTTGATTACCACCTTGCTGTTATAATTGTTTTCAATTATTTTGGATTGTTGGTGTTGATTTTAAATCTACTTTAAACCCATTCGCAAGATGGGCATCCACCTTAATTGTTTAAATATGGTAGCTAAATAAATACTGGCTAGAGCTAAACACCAATCTTTCCAAATTGTCCATCCAACTGATGGATATGAGATGGAAAATTCCCCCAAATTTCTCCAGGGATGAAAAGGAGATTCTTTAATAATTTCTCAAGGGCAAGAGTCCCCTTAGAGTGACAACTGTAGCATCATTGTTTTAAAAAAAATCGCATGGGAAGAGTTCCCTCTTCAGGGATTGAAAGGAAGCTTGTAGAGCTAAGAAAGCTGTAGAATATTGGCAAGATTACTGAACGATTAAAGACAGGATATTTACACAAGGTCCTTGGCCACCTCATTGCTAATTAGATGCATTCCCAAACCCTGAGAAAATCCTCTTCTCCTTGGAGGGAAAAAGCAAATCCTCTTTCTTTTTTTCTATCTATGGATGGATAGAAAAAATACAGTAGTACCTGAGCATTGGTAGGGTAAGGCTATGACTTAATAAAAGATGTACTAGATCTTCTGATCCCACTATGGCAAATATATATACTATGTGAACAGGAATGGAAGCAGTTTGGTAAAAGTTGTCCATACCATAAACCAGTTAAGATTATTTAACTCCGAGATATCCGTTACGGGCCGTGGCTGTGACAAATTCGCTAATCTGGGCGATGCCACCACATTCAGAGCTGTGGGTGTTACTGGCGTCTCAGCAAAAAATCTAGTTTGGCATAAAAAAAGAAGTAAGAAGAAAGAAAAACCAATTAAGAAAACCAAAAAGAAAACATGCAAAGTTCATTGTGCCAATCCTATTCTAATCATAGCGTAATTTATTTGACTGATTGTTACTTGTTTATGGTATAACTTATTTGACAGTGTGAATTTACTAATTTGACGTATGTTACAAATCCAATCACTGTCAATTGAATTCTATTCCATTCCATTCCATTCCATTCTCTTCCCATTCCATTTATTATTATATCTCATCTCAGTCACTTTGCTATAGCAGTGATAGAAATCACTACTGAATTCTAATCCTGACAGCTGGATGACTGAGCCAGTCCTTTTCTACAGTCTTAGGAAGAAGGCAGTGACCAATGAAATCCAAAAATGTTGCCAAAAACACCACATGGATTTGTCCTGGCAATCCACCAGGAGTAAAGAATGATTCAAAACTCACACACACTCACACGTTCACACTCACACACACACACATTCAAGCAATATAGATGGCTGCTTATCTCACAGCAGTAACTCTGGGTGGTGTATAAATTTAAGAAGACAGGAGCCTTGGTAGTACAAGGGTTTAAGGCACCCTGTTATTAAGCTTGTTAAGACCAGCTGCCTGCAATTACTGCAGGGTTCGAATCTCTCCAAGGCTCAAGGTTGACTCAGCCTTCCATCCTTTCTAAGGTAGGTGAAATGAGGACCCAGTTTGTGGGGGCAATAAGCTGACTTTGTATAAATATACAAAAGGATGAAGGCTATTGCTGAGCACATTGTAAGCCGCCCTGAGTCTTCGGAGAAGGGCGGCATATAAATCAAATAAAAAAAAAAATCAGAGATAAACCATCCAAATAATAAATGCCCCAGGTCACAAACAGCGAATTCCAACTTACACTAAAACCAACATGAGCTGACCAAGTTCACTTAAACTCCTAACCCAAATGTCTGGGGAAGAGCCATGCCATGCATGCCTTATGAAAACAAGCAGGACTTTATGTTGTTAAAGCAGCCAATTGTTATTTAATAAGAAGCCATGATGAAACCAACCATGGTTTAGGAAAGGCAGAGTTTCACTCCTCATCACCCTAGTTTTCAGCCTCAGGGGAATATGGTGATGTCAACGAGGTTCCTATGCCTGATTTTTATTTAGCCTGCTTTTATTTTTTTAAATTAAAATTTATAGATTGGAGAGACTTTGAAATAAAATAGAAGGTTGTGAAAACTATGTGGCCAGGTCTGAATACCCTACTGGGAGTAAAATGGACAATCACAGGCACCATGGGAATTTTTTAATAACCTGTAAATTATCCACCTGATATGCAGATCATCCAGGAAAGATACGAATACCAGAACTGGGCTGCAAATTTTTATGCAGCTACTAGATGACAGGTTTGATGTTTCTGTATATCTCTTTGCCATCAACTTGTCATCTAGAGTTTTACAGATTGGTTATATTTTGTTTATGCATTTATTTATTTATATCCCGCCTTTATTACTTTTTACAAATAAGTCATGGCAGTGAACACACACCTCCTATTTTCTCCACAACAACTCTGAATTGGGATGGGCTGAGAGGAGAGGAACTGGCCCAAAGTCACCCAGTTGGCTTTCATGCCTAAGGCAGGACTAGAACTTGCCATCTCCTGGTGATTAGCCCAAAGTCATTGAGCCCAGAGTCATTGAGCCCGCACTCATTCCTAAGGGAGGACTAGAACTCAAAGTCTCCTGGTCTGTAGTCCAGCATCTTTATCTACACCAAACTGGTTCTATGAATCCAGTCAACTCCACGTTGTTCAGGGAGATCTGGCTAATTAAACCATGACCATTAAAAGTGCTTGAATAAAATCCACTATTAAACAGTTTATTTCCCCAAACTATAACAGAATAACATAGTTGGAAGGGACCTTGGAGGTCTTCTAGTCCAACCCCCTGCTAAGGCATGAAACCCTATACCCTTTCAAACATAGTACTCCAATTTCTTCTTAAAAACCTCCAGTGTTGGAGCATCACAACTTCTGGAGGCAAACTGTCCCACCGATTAATTGTTCTAACTTGTCAGGAAATGCCTCTTTAGTTCCATGTTGCTTCTCTCCTTGATTAGTTTCCATCCATTCCTTCTTATCCTGCCTTCAGCTGCTTTGGAGAATAGCTTGATTCCCTCTTCTTTATGGCAGTTCCTCAAATACTGCTATCATGTCATCCCTAGTCCTTCTTTTCATTAAACTAGACGTACCCAATCCCAGCAACCATTCTTTGTATGTTTTAGCCTCCAGTCCCCTAATCATCTTTGTTGTTCTTCTCTGTACTCTTTCTAGAGTCTCAACATCAACTACACATGACCAAATTAATTTTCTCTTTTCCCACCAAGTCAATGCTTGGCAGAGTCTTCAGATTAGCTCACTTCCCCCCCACCTGTTATATTGGTAGCCTGGATGGACCATCTTGAATTCAGACAACTCTTCCTGCCTGGAAGTCATAACTGCAAAAGAGAGTCAGGAGGGGAAGTGAGAAACAGTGCAGGTTAGACTAACATTCCCAGGATGCGATGCCCTTCATTTATATTCACTGCAGTCATTCCTACTAAAAATGTTTGTGATTTCAATTCATTTTTTAAAAAAATTCTGAATGTTTCACTGTATTTCTTTCTAGTACTTTTGACATTATTTTCATGACCATCACGTCTGACATAATGTTCCTTCTTTGTTATGGCAATTCCAGTGTTTATTATTACAATATATGATTTATCATTTTGGCAGCTGGTGAAGTTATATATCATTTATGTCAATTTAGCTTGGAGTAAATTTAATTGGCTTTTTCTGTAACTCTTCTCATTGATCCATCGTGATTACATCTTTGAAATTTTCCTTCCCTTTTATTACATAATTTTTTAATTTGCTCTGTCTTTATACTTCAGTAAAGATTTTATAGATACAGCCTAATAAATGAACTCAGTTTTGTATGTATCGAGATTCACCTTTGGCAAGATGAGTACTATATAAGTTTAATACACAAATAAGTATATAAATAATTTTACCATCTTTTTCAAGGGCCTTCCTTTTTTTTGATCACTTTTTATATGTTAAAAGTTAAAGTTAAAACTTTATCTTTCTAAGTATTTGCTGATACATTAACTATGATAGATTCCTTCTCTCATGGGTTCTTGTTGTGTTGTTTATCTGTTTCTTAAATCCAAAAGCGTCATGTTGACACATCTCATTAAATCTTTCTTACTTAGAGAAAGTAAGAAAGTAGATGCCTTTAGAATAACAAGCTTTTGGCAGCCATGCTGATGGTGAAATGCTGGCTGGGGAATTCTGGGAGTTGAAGTCCACACAATTTAGAATTGCTAACGCTGAGAAACACTGTCCTAGTGAAACCTAATGCTCAGTAGGTGTGGTGGACTTGAGTTCCCATAACTGTGGGAAATTATCATCTACATAGGGTTGAGGAAAATGAGCAATATTCTTGTGTCCGCTTAAAAATAAACGAGATTGCTGGATAAATTATTGAGGATCCGGATTGTGGGGGCAATAAGCCAGCTTTGTATAGAACAACACCACTTAGTGGGGGTCCGAAAGCCATAATAAGCAGGTATATACATAAAAGTATGCAGGTTATTGCTATAATGCATTGTAAGCCGCCCTGAGTCTACGGAGAAGGGCGGCATATAAATTGGACTAATACTAATACTAATACTAATAAATGGCCAATGATATATCACGATGCCATGAAGTCACTAGAAAGAGCCGGGGGCAAAACTTTCAGCACCCATTGTGTCCTTCATAAAGGATTGAAAATGTTGGCCCATCAGGTATATTATATACCCTACAGGTATTTTACGAGCTGTCAAAAGGGTGCAGATCACAATCCGGGCACTTTTGCTCTGGAACATAAATTCTGACTAACTTGCCTGGAATTGTGTATCTTGGCTGCTCTTTGGGTATTTTATCTACCCAGTATACAGAAGGTCTGCAGGGAGAAAAAAGAGAAACCAAATTAATCTAAATTAATCCTCAGAATTTCTATCTCCATAGCCCTTCTTCTGACTCCTAACATATTGGCAGCCTCAAGGATTATTCGTCTCTTTTGTCCCCATCACAGGATATCACAAGAAAAGCCCTGAAAATGCTAAATGTTAAAAGGAGATATATTTATCTAGTCCAAGATCTGTTGTCTTAAGAAGGCTTGAGCTGCAAACGTGGCTCAATCTGTGGCTTGCTAAATTTCACGGCAGTATAAAGCAACACCTTTATAGATGAGGGCAGACATTTCATTCATTACCCAAACTAGGTAACGTTCATTAGTGCACTGATGATGAGCATGACTGATAGATAGATGCATGACTGATTCAGACAGGTTTCATCCTGTAAAAAGGTCAACCTTCAAAATTAAGAAAAATCCTGAATGCTGCCAGCAAATTTCATAACTATAGCAAAAAGGAAATTTATTTACAGGAAGTGATTTATGAGGAAAGGCAATTAAACCTGAACGATCTGCCCTCTGTTGCCCCTTGTGGTCAGGAAATGCCATTGCATTTGGATCTCCAACACCTCAGTTTTGCTCAGATCAAGATATAGAATAACAGAGTTGGAAGGCGAAGCGCGTCCACAAAGAGAACCGGTAGTAAAGCTGGTTAGAACCCACTCCTGGACCTCTTAGTGACTTAGTCCAACCCCCCACCCAAGCACAAGACCCTATCCCATTTCTGACAGATGGCAGTCCAGTCTCTTCTTGAAAGCTTCCAGTGATGAAGTTCCCACAACTTCTGAAGGCAACGTCTGTTCCATGGGTTGATCGCTCTCGCTGTCAGAAAATTTCTCCTTATTTCCAGGTTGAATATCTCTCCTTGTTCAGTTTCCACCCATTGTTTCTTGTCTGACCTTCAGGTGCTTTGGACAATAGGTTGACCCCTTCCTTTCTGTGGCAGCCCCTCAAATATTGGAAGACTGCTATCATGTCTCCCCGGTCCTTTTCTTCACTAGACTAGCCATGTCCAGTTCCTGCAACCGTTTTTCATGTTTTAGCCTCCAGTCCCCTAATCATCTTTGTTGCTCTTCTCTGCACTCTTTCTAGAGTCTCAACATCTTTTTTATAGTGTGGTGACCAAAACTGGATGCAGTATTCTAGGTGTGGTCTTACTAAGGCTTTATAGAGTGGTATCAACAGCTCATGTGATCTTGATTGAATCCCTCTGATAATGCAATTTAGGATTGCATTGGCTTTTTGGCTGCCGCCGCACACTGTTGGCTCATATTTAATTAGTTGCCCACTAAGACTCCTCTCATATTGACTGCTATTAAGCCTGGTTTCTCCCAATCTGCATCTACAGTACACATACACACATTCTATAAGCCAGCCGTGCACAGCAAGGCTGAGAAAAATGCACCCAATGGATGAATTCAGAAGACTGGCATAGGTTGCCTCACCTCTTCCCATACTCAAGGCAGAGAAACAGAGATATTTTCACTGCCTCTTCATTTCACCTGTGAAATATGCTTTAAATCCAGGGAGTTTTGAGAAAATAGGAATTCTGACCTGGAGAGTAGAACTTGGTGGTTGACTTTTGGCCGGGCAAGGATGCTGAGCCGATTCTGCGTGGGCCCCCATTCTGAAGGCATCAGTTACCAGAGCAGCCAGCCGTGAAGGCTTATGGAAGAGAGGCAAACTGAAGTGATGCTTCCAAGTGAGCAAATGGTGATGAAAACTCACATCTGTTGAATAGGACCTAGATGTCTCAGAGATGTTCTGGCAACAGGAAAAACATGTGAGGGTTAGGAGTGGTCACTTCGAATGGTCACTAAATGAATGAACTGTTGTAAGTTGAGGACTACCTGTTTAGGTAGTTCTTGATTTACAACTATTCATTTAGTGACCAAAGTTACAATGGCACTGAAAAAAGTGACAACCAGTCCTTGTGTTTCCAATCATTGCAGCTGTCAGGCCTGGAAGCCATCTTTTTCATTGGGCCTTCCGGCCTGCCACATTTATGACTGTGGGAAAATGGGAGGGGGGATTGTATGGAGCCAGGGTGATATATAGTCATAATAACATTCCTTTCTCAGAAAGTCAAGGACATCTTGCCCTGCACCTGGACGGCTGGAACTGGGAGGCATCTCCAGTTGGGACGGTGCTGGGATTGGACCATGTGATGGACTTGTGGGTGTTGGGCAGGGATTTGAACTTTGGGGAAAACCTGGAAACTTTCAGATTTGGGTTTTCCCAGATGCGCCAATGTGACATCTCTAATAAAATGGAACTTTGAGGAAACTCAAGCCTCAGAGTTTTCTTTCATTGGAGGTGACAGCAGCATCCCCACAGTCACGTGATCAAAATTCGGGCACTTGGCAACCAGCATTTAACAATGGATTCACTTAAGAACTGCATGATTCACTTAACTGCAGTTATTCGCTTAACAAACGTGGCAAAAATGGTTGTAAAAATACCGTACGACTGCCTTGATTAACAACAGAAATTCCAATTATGATTATAGGTTGAGCACTGATTGATTCTACCCAGATCCATTTCTTTCTGGGATACTGCATTCAGTTCCCAACCAAGTCCAGATTTCTGCCTAATTTGTTTGTTTCCTATCTTTCATTGCCCTATTTAGTTTCCACCCCAACCAACCTGTTATTGTACTTCAGAAGGGACTTTTGTTCTCTTAAAGCCCAATGAGTTAGATAATTAGTTGGGTCTACTTTCTAAAATTTATAACTCACCATTTCTTCAGAAAGAAATCAAGGCAGCCTGAATTTCTCTCCTTTCTCCAGATTTTACCACCACCACAAGTTTGTGAGGTAGGCTTGGTTGAGGGGCAAGGACCAGGCCAAAACTGAGCTTCTATGATTGAAGGGAACTTCCTAATCTAGCCCCTTCAGTACTCAGTCATACTATCTTCTATTTTACTTGTATTGCCTACTTGTATTGACAGACACAGACTTCAGAAGATAGTTAGAACTGCAGAAAAAACAATGGCTACCAACCTGCCTTCCACTGAGGACCTGTATACTGCACGAGTCAAAAAGAGGGCTGTGAAAATATTTACAGACCTCTCACATCCTGGACATAAATTGTTTCAACTCCTACCCTCAAAACGACACTATAAAGCACTGCACACCAGAACAACTAGACACAAGAACAGTTTTTTTCCCAAACACCATCACTCTGCTAAACAAATAATTCCCTCAACACTGTCAAACTATTCACTAAATCTGCATTACTATTAATCTTCTCATTGTTCCTATCACCCATCTCCTCCCACTTATGACTGTATGACTGTAACCTTGTTGCTGGTATCCTTATGATTTATATTGACTGTTTCCTAATATGATTTGATTGCTTATTTGTACCCTATGACTATCATTAAGTGATGTACCTTATGATTCTTGATGAACGTATCTTTTATGTACACTGAGAGCATATGCACCAAGACAAATTCCTTGTGTGTCCAATCACACTTGGCCAATAAAATTCTATTCTATTCTATTCTATTCTATTCTATTCTATTCTATTCTATTCTATTCTATTCTATTCTATTCTATCCTATCCTATCCTATCCTATCCTATCCTATCCTATCCTATCCTATTCTATTCTATTCTATTATATTCTATGTTCAGAACTGGGAATAATCCCCCAAAAATTATTTGGTGGCACTCCCATATCTATTTCCAAAATTGGATTCTGCCTTACTGTGTAAAATATGCTAAGCAGGCTGCCTGGTGATTTTTTTAAAAAAAAAATTGCATTACAGGTAGCCCTCGACTTACAATCACAATTGAGTTTAAAATTTCTCTTGCTAAGTGAGAAAGTTGTGAAGTGAGTTTTGCCCCATTTCATGACTTTTCTTGACACAATTCTTAAGTGAATTATTGCAGTTGTTAAGTTAGTAATGCAGTTGTTAAGTGAATCTGGCTTCCCCATTGACTTGGCTTGTCAGAAGTTTGCAAAAGATGATCACATGACCCCCAGGACACTGCAACCGTCACAAATATGAACCGGTTGCCAAGCAACTGAATGTAAATCACGTAACCATAGGGATTCTGCAATGGTGTGAAAAATGGTCATAAGTAGCTTTTTTTCAGTGCTGTTGTAACTTTGAACGGTCACTAAACAAACTGTTGTCAGTCAAGGGTTACCTGTACTAAGGCACAGCTCCAGAAATCATATTGACATCATTTTTTGGGGGGATTTTTTTTTTAAACCAACATAAAACCAACTTCAATTACAAACAAAGAAACAGTGTGTCGGTTGGTTACAAGTCATTTGTGCATCTTCACCATATTCATAACTTACAGTTTATCTTATTTCTCATATTTATCGATCTAATATAACAAAATAATCTAAGATTTGAGTTAATTTAGATTATAACATTCATTTCATCATCCTAAATCGCTCCAATAATAATACATCTTTATGTTATATTTTATATAATTCTAGAATACTTGTATTATAAAGATCTCAACCATATTTCATTTCCATATTTTTTAATCTAGCCATTGGTAAAATAGGCCCCATATCTTATAATTATTGTTTATCTTCTTGTTCTCTGATTTCAAATGTCAATTTGCTCATTTCAGCACATTCCATTATTTTCTTAATAACTTGATCTTGCATTGGTATTTTCTCATCTTTCCAATTTTTAGCAGACATCATTTTTTGAAAAAAGATAATATCAATTGTCACCACATGAGGGTAGCCTTGCTTCAGAAAATGGTGATATTTACTTATGTGAAAGTTTGAAGAGAAAGTGGAAATAGAGACACCTGAACAATTAGAGATGCTTCAGGAAATAGATAGATAGATAGATAGATAGATAGATAGATAGATAGATAGATAGGGTTAGAGTTAAAGTTAGAGTTAGAGTTAGAAAATTTTATTGGCCAAGTGTGATTGGACACACAAGGAATTTGTCTTTGGTGCATATGCTCTCAGTGTACATGTAAAGAAAAGATACATTTGTTAAGAATCATAAGGTACAACACTTAATGATAGTCATAGGGTACAAATAAGTAATCAAATCGTACTAGGAAACAATATAAATTGTAAGAATTCAAGGAACAAAGTTACAGTCATACAGTCATAAGTGGGAGGAGATGGAGGATAGGAACGATGAGAAGACTAATAGTAATGCAGACTTAGTGAATAGATAGATAGATAGATAGATAGAAAGAAAGAAAGAAAGAAAGAAAGAAAGAAAGAAAGAAAGAAAGAAAGAAAAAGAAAGAATCAAATTGATACATTAGGAGTGACATGATAGCTGTCTTCAAGTACTTGAGGGGCTGCTACAGAGAAGAAGGAATTGACTTAGTCTCTAGGGCACCAGAGGGGAGGACAAGAAGTAATGGACGGAAGCTTGTTAAAGAGAGATCCAATCTGGAACTAAGAAGAAATTGTCTCACAGAATCAGGTGAAAAGTTTGAACAGACAGGACAACATTTGAGCAGGTAGATAGAAGGTCTCCTGTTTTGAGCAAGGTGTTGGACTCGAAGACTCTACTTCAGGGGTGTCAAACTCATGTCGTCATGATGGTGTCATGTGACATATCGGGACTTTCCCCCCTTTTGCTAAACCAGGCAGGGCCGGGGCCAGCATGTGACACATCCAGCCTGCGGGCCGCGAATTTGACACCCCTGCTCTAGTTGGACCAGATGCAAAAAAGTTTTTGAAACTCTAGAAAGAGTGCAGAGAAGAGCAACAAAGATGATTAGGGGACTGGAGACTAAAACATACAAAGAATGGTTGCTGGGATTGGGTAGGTTGGATTTGATGAAAAGGAGGACCGGGGGTGACATGATAGCAGGGTTCCAAATTCCAATATCTTGGGGGTTGCCACAATGAAGAGTGGGGTCAAGCTATTTTCCAAAGCACCTGAAGGCAAGATGAGAAACAATGGGTGGAAACTAATCAAGGAGAGAAACAACCTGGAACTAAGGAGAAATTTCCTGACTGTTAGAACAATTAATCGGTGGAACAACTTGCTTCCAGAAGTTGTGAATGCTTCAACACTCACTGGAGGTTTTTAAGAAGAGATTGGATAACTATTTGTCTGAAATGGTATAGAGCAGGAGTCAGCAACCTGCGGCTCTGGAGCCGCATGTGGCTCTTTCACCTCTCTGCTGTGGCTCCCCATGACTCAAAATATGTGTCACCCACCGACATGTGATTTATTGAGCTTTTTAACCCCTGGAAGGCCAACCATGGATAAATGCAAGAAAAGAAAAGTTTCAGAAGAAAACAGAACATTTAATTCAACTACATATGCTAGTTTTGTGGCCACTCAAGATATAGTCAGTCACAGGAAGGGTTTTGTGGCTCCCGGTGTTTTCTTTTCTGTGGGAAACGGGTCCAAATGGCTCTTTGAGTGTTTAAGGTTGCAGACCCCTGGTATAGATTTTCCTGCCTAAACAGGGGATTGGACTAGAAGACCTCAAAAGTCCCTTCCAACTCTGTTATTCTATACTTCCATGGTCCCTTCCAGGTTCCAGCCCTATGATTCTATGTTCTATTTCATATTATTGTTCACTAGAATCTAATGTATGACTGGCTCAGGAATTCTGGGAGTTGAAGTCCACAAGCATAAAGAGGCCATAGTTGCTCACCCATGCTCCATTAACTGAAAATTAGAGGAATTTGTTTAAACATGTGGACCCAATATATTTAATCAGAGGCCAGTTTGGGGAAAAATACTAAAATGTGATTTCAGCAGTGAATGGCTAGAATTCTTCATCCTTTTCTAGACTACTTA